GGTGCACAGTAGGGTCGCGAGTCTACACTTAACTTGCCAGAGGCGTTAATGGGACTCCAAGTTACCTTTTATGCTTTCCGTTGTGTTTTATTTTGAGCTAGCCTTCGAGTTAAGCAGATTGTAATAAATCATATTCTGGATCTGCAATTTAGTACTTATTACATATGATATTCTTGATATTTCATTATGTACTATGGGTGCTAGTGTCACATCCCCCCAAAAAACAATTTTTGGAATGTGAATTATTAATTTAGGGTTTTTTAGATTTTCTTGTGATTGCTTGAGCCAAGCTAGATTTGACTAGGATTTGAGTGATATTTGGGGCTCAAAACATTTGTGAAATTATTTGGAATCCTAAAATCATTTTTATAGTGCCAAAATGGAGCTTATAAAAATTGTGTGGCATTTTATTTTATTGGGTTGGGAATAATTTCCCTTAAGAGCAAAATATTGAATGTGCATCTGTGAAATCTTTCCAAAATGACTGGAGTAAATTTGATTTTTGAATCAAATCCAAATTCAAAAGGAAAAATAGAAAAGAAAAACAGAAAAGCTAAACCTATCCAACCCAATCTAGCAGCCCACTGGCCCAACTTGTTGCCACCCGAGCAAACTGCAACGAGGAATTTCGCACAGCCCGTAAGCCCTTGGTGAGAAAATTAATTAAACTTTTAAAATATTGACCATGAGGGACTATATACCATCGAGTGGACTCTATACTAGCATCGATCTCGAGAAAAGTCTTTTAAGTTTTCAAATCACATACACCTTATATGGCGAGACATGACTGACATATGATGAGCATATAGAATCATGTGGGTAAAGTATAAAACTTTTGTAGAGAGTAAAACTATTCGAATAGTTGTGTCCACGGTCAAAGATAATGAGTGAGGCCACACTAAACTTCTTGAACATTTTGGTTCCCACACAAAAAAGGATGGGATCGTACCTCGGGTAAGGTACAAGATGGGGAAAGGCCAGGTGACTATGGTCCTCGGCCTAGAGAAAACTGTGCCTATGGAACTTAGATATGATGGCACCAGATTTGGATTTGGATTAAGCTTGCTGGTTGGATTTATTGAAAGAGGATCAATTATATTACCCGTTCCAACCCAGGTTGTTTATCAACAGATGTTTTTAAATGCTTTCACAGACTACTAGGGCTATCACACATGCATTTAAACTTGGATTTCCGCAACCATGAAACTTGTATAGCTAACACTTTCTTGTACTGACCCATTGTGTGTGTATTTCTTACACCTCCTTTTGGGTTTCTTGCGAGTACATTCAATGTACCCAGCTGGCTTATTGATTTCGCCAGACTTGAGAGGACAAGATTCCGATGGCAAGTGAGAAAGTAGGTCACAATCATGTGGTCACTATAGGAAGCAAGGGGAGGATTTGGCCAGCTAGGCCAGAGCTCCCACATGATCATGAATGGAAAGACAACGTATCTCTTGATACACATGGAACGAGGGAGTTTGACATAAGAGGTTTCTACCGGTGATGGTAGGTAGCGGTGAGAAATCCACCACACACATGTGTTGAGATTTCTGCACTCCTTGTATAGTCCATATGTATGTATATGCATGTATACACCCCCATCCCACATGATCAGTGTCGGCCCCCCGTCATCTTTCTCCTTCACATGCCTTCATGACATGAATAGTACACATCTACTCTCTCTCCTCTCTCACTCAACAAATATATCATGCTATTCCACCTTTGCTAATTTAAATCATTAATATATTCTAAACAAAAAATCATTTTTTTTCCCTTTCTAAATTTTGATATATTTGAACTCCCCACATCAGAATCTTCAGAACAAGATCAAACTTGGATATATTTTAAAATAGTTTAAATTTCAGTGAGTAAAACAAACTTGCAATTTGGTAAGCTGTTATTTTCAGTGTGCGTACAGATACTGTCAATACGCGAAATAGATTTCTTTCAAATATGTGAAATAGATCGTTTCAGACTGTGAAACTGGTTATTTAAGGTTATTTAAAAAAATGTGAACTAAGCTTCTAAGTTCAACACGATCTTGTTTGAAATATTTGAGTAGTTACTAAAACAAATTTGTGGCAAAACTGAAATACATCAAATCAATCAAAATTACAAATACATTTAGTCATTTCAGAAAACTTTCCCACTCAAAATGAGTGATTTTTATTGTGACTGAATGAAACTAGTTTTTCCGAATAGAATTACATTAGCTTTTCTAAATGAGCAAACCGTTTTGTGAAATGAGTAAAATCACTTTTTTGAAGTGAGTGAAATTATACTTTTTGAAACATTATGAAATCAGTTTTCAGAATGAGGGAATTTATCTTTTGAAATGAGTAAAATTTATTTATTTTAATGAGTAAAATATATTTTTTATTTGACTGAAATTAGTTCTTTTGAAGTGATTAAATCATTTTTTTAAATGAGTAAAATCCATTTTATAAAATGAATGATACCATTTTGTTGAATTGAGTGAATGCCATTTTTTGAAATGAGTAAATTTATATTTCTGTATTGAGGAAACGAGTTTTTCAAAATTAAAGAAAATATTAATATAAATTGAGTGAAATTAGTTTTTTTAATGAGCGAAACCCTTTTTTGAAATGAGCAAGTCACTTTTTAAATGAGTGAAATTAGTAGATGAAATGTATTTTTCGAAATGGTTCAAATATATTTTTCTAAATTAGAAAGTGATCTTCCTTTGGGAAATAGACTGAAATTTATTTTCTAATGAGTTAATTTTTCCTGAATTTAATGAAATCCGTTTTTTGGAATGAGTGAAATCTATTCTTCAAATGAGTGAAACCTATTTTTCGAAATGAGTGAAATCAATTTTTTTAAATGAGTGGAATTTATGTTTTGAAATGAATGAAATCATATTTCCCGGAATAAGTGAAACTAACTTTTTAAATATGGTGGAATGTGTGTTTTAGAATCAGCGAAATTATTTTGAGTGAAATCAACTTTTTTGAAATGGTTGATTTTTTTAAAACAAGTTAAATTTGTTTGTTAAAACGAGTGGAATCACCTTTTTGGAAATGAGTAAATTTTCTTTTGACTCGAGTTAAACCATTTTCTGAAATAGTGAATCAATTGATATCACAAATAGTGAAACAATTGAAATCAATTTTTTTTAAATTATGAACATTGTGAAATAATTTTTTTGGTCAGTTTTAGTTTTACTATTTTAATTAGTGGAATAATGAAATCAATTTTTGAAATGATGGAATATTCGAAACCACTTTTTGAAATACTGAAATTGTTGAAATCACCTTTCGAATTAGTGAAAATGTTGAAATCACTTTTCAATCTATTTTACTTTCAATTTTTGAAATAGTGAAACAAACCACTGAAATCACTTTGAAATAGTTAGAAAAATTGATGTCAATCTTTAGAAATAGTAAAATAGTTGAAATCATTGAATATGCATAACAATGAAAGTGTACTAGATAATGATCAAAACAGTATCGGCATAAGATTATGTTAAAAACATTTCTTATGGATCAATGTAATGTTTTGTGAAATAAAAATTGTCCAATATATTCAAGATGATCTTGTTCTAAAGGTCTTGTCGATACAAATTCAAATACTCCCTCCTATCCATCTTACTTGTCGATCAAATGGATGTATCTAGCATTGAAATACGTCTAGATACATCCGGCCAGCGGCGAAGCCACGTTGAGAGGAGTGTGGTCATTTGACCACACAGGTTTTTGACAAATCCTTTATACACAAGTAGAAATCATGCAAAAAAATTCATGAAATTGGTGAAAGCACATGTATTTGACATCACAGATTTCAAATGACATCACAGACTTCTGATCCTGGCACCGCCACTGCATCCGGCGATGAGTAATATGGATCGGAGGGAGTATATAAAATGTCCCAGAAGCAGATATTTGATTCAAATGATATCGATCATTCAAAAAATGACGATGGAATGAAATCATGTCTTTCATATGGGGAAAGAGAATGCATGCAATGGTCTTTCCCAATGTCTTATACGCTCTCTCTCCTGGCATAAAGTTAACACACGGTGACAATAGCATTTGTATTCCTCTATTCAATCTTCTGTATACCTATAAAAGTTGATACAAATCTCGATGTGGTAATGAGTCACGGATGCTTTACCGGTACATACCCGAACCCCTAGAAAAAATAAATTCAGGAGTTTTGTTCCTTCCTTGGAGGCTTCGACATTTCGACCCCTTCCATCCATTGTTATTAGGTGCATGCGACGCTCTAGGAAGTGTGAAAAAAAAGTGCGTGCGATGCCTTCCCTACCCTCTACTCCATCTCAGACCAAACGATCTCTTGCATGCGCCATTCCCAACAATGGCAACCTTTCACATATTCCTCGCTTCCTCATGGCTCCGGCCAGCTGCTCCCCACCCCATAGTTTAGGCACGTCGTACGTTCCTTGGCCCATATATAGCATCTTGATCTCTCTTTACCTAAAGCTAGAACGACGTGGGGTAGCTAGCTAGCTAGGTTAATGCACTACTCCTGATCATCCTGCAGCTAGCTGTAAAGAGAATTACAGAAGAGATCACAATTTGAACGACCCATTGAGCATGATGCCTTCCCTGTACTTCCTTCCTCCTAACATTCAACTTTCGGTGGATCGGCCAGCTTTACTTTGAGAAGCTAGCAGGGATCGAACCGCATCTCAATGCATGTTACATGGAGACATGGAGTGAAACAAGGAGACAAGGATTAGCTGTGCGTGCATGCACATGACATGCATGACCTCTTTTTGTACGCTCCACACACCTGTGCACCTGTCCAGCACGCGAAATGTGGCATGCAATGCAAGTAACCATATATGCATGCATAGTCGCATAGGCAACGTCATTTTCCCTAGCACCATCCCTTTCTCTACATATAGCAAGCTGATAGCTGATACCTTCCCTTCATCGGCATGCATATGTATGCGTAGATCACCTTACTAGTGGAGCACTACCGTCTAGGATCTAGCTATAGCCTATAGCTCGATGACATCGATCGAAGTGGCGGTGGCCGGCGGCAATGGCAAGAGGAGGTGGGTGTCGGACGTGGAGAAGACGCTGAATGAGGCGGACAAGACGGTGGAGGTGGCGCAGTGGGAGCGGCACTGCATCTACCGCGTGCCGGCGTGCATCAAGGACATCAAGAGCAAGGCGTACCAGCCGCAGGTGGTGTCGCTGGGCCCGTTCCACCACGGCGACCCCAACCTGCTGCCCATGGAGGAGCACAAGCGCCGGGCGCTGCGCCACCTGCTCCGGCGCGCGGGCCGGCCACTGGACGACTTCGTCGCCGCCGTCGAGGAGATCGCGGAGCAGCTGGAGAGCGCGTACATGGACCTCGGCGGCGAGTGGCGCGCCGGCATCGACGGCAAGGGCAGGGAGCGGTTCCTGGAGATGATGATCGTCGACGGCTGCTTCCTGCTCGAGGTGATGAGGAGAACGGCCGCCGGGAACTTGAAGCAGGTCGACGACTACGCCGGCAACGACCCCATCTTCAGCCGCCACGGGATACTCTACATGGTGCCCTACATCAAGCGCGACATGCTCATGCTCGAGAACCAGCTGCCGCTGCTCGTGCTCCAGAGGCTCGACAACGTCGAGACTGGAAAGTCTCCGGTAACTACGAGCTACCACATCAAATTTTACCATTTTCGTCAATCAAGAAAATAAACTACTCCTATTTGAATATACTAACGCATGCATGGTTGACGGCCAGAACGACGACTTCATCAACAGAATGGTGCTAAGGTTTCTGGCGCCATTCTCACGGCCATTGCAGCCAGGCGGTCGCCTAGGGCTGCACCCACTCGACGTCTTCCGCCGGAGCATGCTCTTCGGCGAATACCAGAAGATCCGGAGCTCCGAGGACAACACGCAGGACAACGACATCATCCGGTCGGCGGTGGAGCTGTACGAAGCCGGGATCCAGTTCAAGACGAGCAAGTCAAGCAGCCTGCACAACATCCGGTTCAAGCACGGCGTGCTGAGCATGCCGACGGTGCCCGTGGACGACTCCACCGAGTACATGTTCCTCAACATGATGGCGTTCGAGCGGCTGCACGTCGGCGCCGGCAACGACGTGACGGCCTACGTCTTCTTCATGGACAACATCATCGACTCGGCCAAGGACGTGGCGCTGCTGAGCTCCAAGGGGATCATCCAGAACGCCGTGGGCAGCGACAAGGCCGTGGCCAAGCTCTTCAACAGCATCTCCAGGGACGTGGTGCTGGAGCCGGACAGCGCGCTGGACGCCGTGCAGAGGCAGGTGAACGGCTACTTCAGGCAGCCGTGGAACATGTGGCGCGCCAACCTCATCCACACCTACTTCAGGAGCCCGTGGGCGTTCCTCTCCCTCGCCGCCGCCGTCTTCCTCCTCGTCATGACCATCATGCAGACCGTCTACACAGTGCTGCCGTTCTATAATCGGGACAGCAACAGCCCGCCGTCGGCTCCATCTCCGATGTGATCCGGCCGCAACAACTTATGCCTGCGTCTGCGTGCGTGAATTGGTTTTGCTTTCCGAGTCCTTGTTGCTGGGTCGTTGCGAAGCTTTTGGGTTGTGTACACTGTGCAAAAGCGAAGAGTGGCGTGTTTGTGCTGCGTTCGTTTTGATTGAATTTCTTTTCAATTTGGAGCTCCGACAACGAGCATTTGCTTGTGCAGAACTGGAGATTTATGACAATGAGCATTTGCTTGTGCAGAACTGGAGTACAAAACAAGTCATCCACGGACTGCCGCCAACCGCGCCGTTTGTGGTAATTGTACACAAGTGACGGTCATGCTCTGCCCGTCAATCCTAACTTCACCACATGGTTACAAACTTAGGGCATCTCCAATACCCGGTATTTGTCCGTGGACATCCAACCAGTCTGTGGACAATGATGCGGGAGCCAGCCATCCAACCATGTCCACTAAAACTTACGTCTCTTTCTTTTAGGGGGTGTCTATTTGACGTTTGACTGAAAATTAATTGGACATCAGTCAAGTTTTCCAACCAATAATAGAACGACAATTGTATGTATTTATGTGTCCCTTTTTTGTGCATCTCCGCTGTATATATGTCATCAGGAGAAAGGCCAATCCTAATCGGGTTGAAATTAGACCCAGTTTCAAACATATGTGAGCTACAACTATCGCAATACCACATCCAAGAAAAAGCCTACTGATCCATCAACGTCCCCTCTGTAAGGTCTGGCATCAAGATACAGCCTACTTACAATCTTTTGGGAGAAAAATACAGTGATAATTAGACTGTCCTTAGAGTCTGATGGTAACTTGCAGTCTACTCACAGTGATATCTTAAGAGTTAAAGACTAGAATACACAAAACTTATAGTCAAATTAGCTTTGGAACTTCTACAATTACAGTGTAGATTCTAAAAAAACAATTCAGTGTATTTACGCATAACTTACACTCATATTATGTGGTTATTACAGTGACATTATGACCGGAACTTGTCGAGTCTCAAAGACACCCGTTTGCAGCGCCGAGTCATGAATTGGTATGTACGCAGGTCGGACTGGACCCATTTGCATTCTATGACAAGCAGATGAAAAACTTTAAAATTACAGTAAGAAAACCTTGCAAATATAGTACCTTGTGCCATCTACGGATTATAGAGACACAACTGAACCAACATACACACTGCCTATCATACAGATGACCACACACTGAACCAACATACACACTGCCCTATCCATAGTGTGAAAAAAGCAGTTCAACATCTCTCTAATGCAAAAAAAGCCTTCTTCTCCATCATTGTTAATTCACAGTCTGAAAGAAAGGATCAAACAAGAATTAGACCAATCATTAAGATATATAGCACAAAGGGAAGCAATTGGCACTGAGCCAAAAAGCTGAAAATACAAAGTACAAGAGAGAGTGAATGATGTAGACAAGCACAGTAAATTTGAAGTATAAAAAATAGAAGTGCTTACATCATCAAAGAAATCAGTAACAAGAAGTCTAGAACTTATCCACCCTGTTCAACTCACAGAAAAACTTATCATTAGCATACTTCTATCCTTAAGTTCGGAATGTCAGCGCTTGAAAAATTGTTAACAACTTGAGTCCTTGCAGTCCATACTTCCATAAACTTGAATGTAAAGACACCACAATTGTGTGCCTGGTTTCACATGAATAAAGGAAGAAAACAAAAGAAAATAAGACACCAACATGGGAGTAATAAAAGCATCCCAGAATCCTATGAAGTGTGTAATCTGTTCGAATAAAAGAAAATACAAGAGATAAATCTTAAAAGATAACAACACTGTGCCTTCAAAAGGGAAACCAATTTAGAAGCAAATTGATAAAAATGTACTAGGAGATCACTAAAGTGCAAGTGAAATTCAGAATGCTCATTAAAAGATGGATCAAGGAAAGCAAAGGCTCATCCCTTCAAACAAACAAAGAAACAAAACCAATGTTTTCAAACGGTTATAGGGAAGTACAGCTGCAACTAGGAAGAGTAATATGAAGAAAAATGTATATAGAGTAAATGAGAAATAAAAAAAGAAATGGAAAAGACAAACACCAAAAAAGAAGGTCGAAATTAAATTACTTACATGGAGGAAATGAAAAATAAAAAGAAAGGGCAAAGACAAACACCAACAACGAACCATGGAGTCAGAAATCCTTCAATCCCAATTGGGGAAAAGACGAACACCAAAGCCGCAACAACTAATTGGGGGAGAGCCATGGAAGATCATACAAGAGAAGATCCACAGACTGGAAGTCCTTCAATTCCAATGTCTTGCTCATGTCTAGTGCGTTTCTTTGAGATCTAGAATGAATGAAAAGCAGAGATCACAAAGTCCTTCCATTTGACAGAGTGTATTGCACAAAGCACTCTGGTTAAAAATCAAAGAAACTGGTCAGTTTTGTTTCAAAAGCACCAGGGCAAAAGAAGCTAAAATTTACAATAGCAAAACAATACTGAAATTACTATTATCAAGTTGCTGAAATTACTAGACAAGCAGAAATTCCTGTTCCTGTGCACAGTAAAGTTTCTGACACAAAGGTAGATTCAGTATATATTGACAACGTGAATAGACGCAACACTACCCAACAAAGGCACTGTGAATTACAGCCTAATTACCACTGTAATTTTACTGAAATTGCACTGTAATTGGGCTGACCGTAAATATTCTAGTAAAAATTGCACTGTGATTACCCATGGAAATTACACTATAACAACATTGTAAATTATAGAGAAATTGCACTGTAATTATAGTAAAATAGCAGTGTGATTTACAGTGTAATTACCCTGAAAGTTACACCATAATTACACTGTGATTACAAGTACACTGTAAGAACACTACAATTACAATATGCTTACTCTATAAGTTCAGAGGAAATTACACTATAATTAAAATGAAATTACAATCTTGAAGCAGCTGTCAACTTAGATGCAACACTACCCAAAACATAGAAAAAAAAGGTTATATAATGGATGCAAATACTACCAAACAGAGACAACCCACAAAGAAAAAGGTTATAAAACGCTTGCAGATACAACGTAGGCAACCCACAAAGAAAAAGGTTATAAACTTCATTGTGATCTAGTGTAATTAACCTGAAAATGCACTGACAAAAGCATTGTAATAACCTGAAATTACATTGTAATTGCAGTGACTGTAAACTAAAAATCATAGAAGTTATAGCAAAAATTACACTGTGGTTACCTCTAGAAATTACAGTGTCACTATTATGTAATTTCAGAGGAAATTATGCTGTAATTAAAATGAAATTATAGTTATGAAATTGCCGTAACTTCGATGCAACTACTACCTAAGAATGCACACCCCAGCACCTAACAACAAAAAAGGTCAGCGAAATCAAACGCACAGGCTAGCAAAAAGAAAGTCAACAGGGGAATCAGATCCACCGTTACATCCATGCACCTATCACTGTAACATTGTAATAGCGGGAAAAAAATCGCCAGGAAAATCCACCACTAAGACTACACATACACCCACATCTACATCAAACACAAGGGAATCGAATAAAACCACAAGATATAGAAGAAATTCAACAGGGAAAGGGAGAAGACGCGGATAACGAACTGAAATCACACGACACTGGAGCGGAAATCAATCTGAAAGAAGAGGAGGAGGAGGAGATCGGAATCACCATGGATGATGAGGAAATCGTCAAGAACTACCTCCCTCTCACATCTTTAACTCTCGCGAAGAAATGAGAAAGGGCAAGAATAAAAAAAAGACAGAGAGCCAGGGAATAGGCGGTAACGGGTTGGCTGGGAAACGAAAGCGCGCCCGGTAACAAACACATAGAAAAACGTCCGAAAAAGTCAGCACCCAGCGTGGATCTAGGCACGAGATCAAACAGCCAAAAATTTGAATGCAAACCAATTGTAAATCACTCGACTGTAAATTAGCAAAACCGTTCTTTTAAGTCCGCGAGCTCAGAATAATAACATATCATAACATAGATGATTGAAAATATTCAAATGCTACAGTAGTTCTAATTTAAATATTACAACGCAGCTAGGTTTTCAAATTAAAGTCGTCCAAACTTGAATTCAACTTCAGATGCTCGGTCAAATCTTCCTTGAGCTGCTCCTGCATTGTTCGGTGCCGAATTTGTTGATGCATACTCATCAAACATGGCCAGATTCTGATGAGAAAATTGAACAGGATCACCCATGTTCTCAAATTCTAGACGTGCGGCGGCATCTTCACCCTCATTTTTCACGATCATTTCATCACCTCTTTCATCACCTCTCACAAGATTTCTGGATCCTATTGTTTAAAAGGTCCACGAACAACTGCAAAACGGGCCTAGAGCACTCCAAATGTCCTCTCCACATCCTTTATAGCTCCCCTAAAAAACATCCTTTATAGCTACTTCTTACATGTGTGCTGAATTTATGATATACATTACACTGCTACAAAACAAGCCAGCCACGGTCGCCATGTCGCCGAGAATGCTGGTGCGGTCAGCTCTTCGGTCACGTCTGTATGATCAGCATCAATGTGGATAGGTGATCATCTAGTCGTGTCCGCACTCAGCAACATTAATGCAGGGGAGGGTTCGGGAACACATAGACCAAGGGTTTTGGGTGGGTCAGCCGTGTTGAAGTTGAAGTTGCCCTTAGTTTCTTAAAGAGATAAATGCACTGATGGTCACTAAAATGAGTTGGAAGCACACTAGAGTCACTGAACTTTAGAATACACTCGTTACAGTCATTGTTTATATATAAACGGTGATTCGTCATTGGCCCACTATAGAGCTCCGTATTCTATTTGTATGGCACTTCGTTGACTGGCCCAATAGACTGCATGGCATCTAGCGAAGCATGGTCATTGCCACGTCCTCTCTCTGGCTTGTGGGTCCCATGCGAAATAAACAAATATCCTCTCTAGGCCAACCAAGCTAACCACTTCGAGACAATTCATTTAGCAAAAAAAAAAAAGCAATAATGTCACAACATTTTTCGGGGTTGAC